GATACCCTTTTTTCCTACTCTATTCCCCAACCCCATCACAATTCACTGAGTATGATGGGGTAAGAATATGGTATGCCTCGGTTGTGTTTGGATGGTAAAATGGTTGAAATGTACTCAACTAGAGTGAAATAAAAGATTCAATCTATTGTATTAAAATGAAATTGAGCACTAATAAATGTTTACCAAACAACTAAAATGTAACAGTTTCACAGATAGCTATTACAGGAATATACAGATGAATACGGCAGAGTCCTTACCCTTGTAGGAACCAACAACAAAAGCACTTAATAAGAAGTCAATTACATGTTATGAGAGCATGCAGAAAGTGAAACCGATTCTTGATGGGGAAGGGATAGACAGATGAAAGGGGGAAATCTTAGCAAGATTAATGGAAAAGTTAAAAAGAGAGCACTTGAAATGGGCCTCATAGAACTGCACAGGATTTTGATACTGACAGGCAAAAGCATACAATGACTCAAGCATTTTATTTTACCACTACCTTTACTTCATCTCTAAATTCCTCTAGTTAACTACGGACAATGGAAGGAATTCTCTTTAATACATAGTTCCAAAATGAATAAAAAACCTTAAAATTATTTAGTTTTAAAGAGTAATAAAATGATGTTAAGGATTGGTAAGAATGACTGCATAAAATGGGGGTGACTATTAAACTATTATTTAGGAACATGAAACATGCACAAAAACATTCAGCTTACATCTAAACGTTTTAAAATTTCTTTAAATCTAGTGTGTAAGGCCAAAATGGAAGGCAAAATAAAGAGCTAAATTTACATGTCACATTCTAGACTCAAGCGATAGCTGTGAACTAGCTGGCTCTAGGTCAAAATTAAGCTCTTAAGAGCTTGTAACACATGTATGACCAGCTTTAATTGTACTGTATATTTAAAAATAAAAGAATGCTGGAAACCATTTAATTTTTCAGAAAACATGGTTTTTCTAGATTCAAAACAAATGTTCTACTGGTAAAAGTAGTCCTTTAGGGAATTAAATTCTGTGATGAAGTAGCCACTTCATTTAATGAAATAGAAATAGTCCTTTAATAGCATTAAAGAACCTATAAAAATCAGCATAGCCTCAAAAAAATACTCATCCTAAACTTTGCAGATTACTCAGAATCTATTCATTAAATATTTTTCATATTCAATGGGCATTCATTCCCCTCTCAAGAATATTTACTGAGTCAATAAACTTCGACAAATTACTTTTTGGTGAAATCTTTTAATGTAGTAATCAAAGTGTTTGCTTTATTTTCGCTCTTTAACAATGAGAAATTAGAAATCTATTTACATACCACCTTAACCTTCAAAAGCAATTCTATATTACCATTACTGTGTGCAATTATATATCATAAACATAAGATTAATGAAAACTGGTATTCAAACCAGTTACACTTTAAATTATACTTTAAATGTATGAGTAAAGCCCAATTAAATAAATTTCATGGGAAACATTTTAGTAATTCAACCAGTCACTTTTAGTAAGTCAACCCAGTCAATTTTGCAAATGTGAAGATTTACATATTGGTTATCAATACTTGGCAACATATGAGACCAGAAAAACTGGATGATGACTATCATTACTGAACATTGTGATCAAGTATTCTAGACAGGAATTCTGATTAAAAGAGGGAAAAATACAGCCTAGAATTTCAAATTTTCATG